TGCACATTCCACGCGGGGAGATTACAAGATCAAGGGAAGAACGGGTCGGCGCAATTATAGATTCCGCGATTGTTTCATCGCGCGTAAATTACCGCTGGAAAAATGCAGTCACGCCAGGGAAGCCCGGTCAGCCGGCAAACAAAAGAAGAAAGCAACGGCGACAAGATAAAAACCGCGAGGCAGCTCGGTGTCGGCTCGGCGGTGCTCGGCATCGAGGAGCTAATTTTTTAAAGAGCACAGCGAAAAGGGGGTGCGAACAGGCGGAGCAACCCCCGGCTAAGCTCGCCCTGCCCTCTTCGCCCCCCTCGCCCCCTTCTTCATGGTACCAACCCCGTCGTCTATCTTTCTTCGTTGCAGCTCGATCGCGCGATGCACGCAACCAGGCTAGGAAGAGCTTCGTGGCCAGCTCGTATTTCTCGCCCTCCAACAAGATACCAACCACCTTTAGCCCCATCCTCGACCTCGTGACCACACGTACATCCACCCAGACAGACGCGAAAGGGTAGATAACGTCTTGTGTACACGAGTGTGTGTGTGTGTGTGTTAGTGTAGCATGCGAGTGACTAACGTGTGGCACATCTACATACGAGTGCACACACACGTGTGTGTGTACGTTTCTAAAAGTAGGATACGATAGTACGTGTTCACGTACGTTTCACCACGACAGAGAAAAGAGAAGACACCAAGCCATGTAAAGTGGTGAGCTGGTATAACCGCCACATCCACCCGCCACGCTACGGGTGCTATCTGGCTAACTATCGCTGATCCTTGGCGCGAGACGGGCCCACGGGGGAGCGGAGAGAGGGAAACAGGCGGAAGGGTAGTCTCGTGGATCGCTTGAAACAGCGCCTGCCTACGGGAACTGCCTGCCTTTTGGCTCATCCGTGAAATATTTCGTGTGAGAAGGCTGATTTGGTTTGATCGGGTAAGGTGAGCGATGATTACGAACGCGTCCCGACGCAGGTCCTCGTCTTTTTTTTTTCGGGGGAAATTTGAGTTTGAAGATTCGCGAGGTTTCTGGTATCAATTTATGATATTAACGATGATTGGGATGAGAGGGGATAGTAATTAATTATGCGACCTACGTGTGAGGGAGATTTCTTGTTAATTTCTTTTTTCTACCGGGATAGATGAATTAGCGGTAGGTGTGGAATTTGTATAAATAGGGGACCAGCAATTTGTTAGGGGTACGAAACGAGGTGTCAGCCGGCAGAAAGTTTCACAAATGGTGGAAAGGGCGGTGACAACTGGCAGGAAAGTTGGAACGGCTCGAAGTCTCTTCGGGAACGGTTCAACCCCCTGTTCGGATACTTCGAATACTTAGGTTTGCTCTTCCGGCTCGCGTGATCTCCCCCGAGTTCCATTGTTTTGTCCGTGTCTCGCGGGATCTCGCGATGGAAGGCATTTTAACAGGGGCGCAACGGACTTCAACGCTTAGGGGTGGGTTTTTTGGCCGTCCTGCGACGCCCATTTGTCGCTAAATTAAATGTCCAATTAAACGTCCCCGGTATAGACTCTAGAAAAGTTTCGTCCGTCTCATCTGGTGTTGCGCAATAAAAAATTAAAAGTGTGGCTCATTTTTACACTACGATACATAAGCAGGTATAACGATCACTTTTATATTATTGGAAAAATGAAAAGGATAGTTGAAATAGAACTTTCCAATGGTACATTAACTGCACACTCGCATTAAGATGATAATCAACGATATAAATCATATTTAGCGTCAAATAATTTTGGGTCAATTGACTTTTCAGCATAAACTACCTCGTATACTGACCTAAGAACCCTTTCAGACATTCACGAGATAAATCATACATAAATACCTAAAAACAGAGACTTAAAAATAACATTTTAAAACGTCAATGATTTTAGTAGCCACTATCTCCAAGCGAACTCTTTAGAATTAGGCTACTACTGTGCTCACAGTTTCAAACGAAGGAGTAATAATTAAAGTTACAGACTCGTCGATATTAAAGGATAAAAAAAATGTTAAAATACACCGAAATAACATTGCTAAACATGGACAATAAAGTTGGAGAAATTCGTAACACAGCGTAAAAAGCAAAGAGCGCGGAGAATGACAGGAGAGGCTGAAGCTTAACGTCCGGTAAGGCCCAAGACTAGCACGGGGCCTCCTCAAATATTAGCGAAGGACCCGCGGGGTCCCCTTTGAACTCGAATCCCCGAAAAATTTCTATGGTGAATAATCGGAGACAGCTGGCACGATGCGAAATCAAGTAGCGTAATAATGCCCCGAGACTCCACAGCATCCAGAGCGGGAGAAAATAAAACGGGAGAAAAAGGAGGAAAATGCACCCTCGGATTCGAGTATCTCCCCCGTCTTACCCTCTCCACGCTTCTTAATTCAAATATTTACCCGGTGAAAATATCGGTCGAAACGAACGTTCTCCCGTTTCTTTCCTCGGATCTGAATTTTCATTCCTTAAAACGTACCTACGTATCCGAGAAGAGAGAGAAAAAAGATAAAGAACACGGTCAATTAGGAGAGCGACATACCCCTGTCGATTTACGCGCGATATTTCATTGTTTATCATCGCTATGAAAGCCAGGAATGACTTCCTCTTTCCGCTAATCTCTCATTGCTCGTTAATTAACGACACATGTCGGTGGTGGAATTTTCGTGGAGGAGCCACGGTTTATCTGTGCCGATAAAAAAGCGACGTTTAGCGGGGGACAGTTAAAAAAAATGGAAGGGGGCAACGTGCATAAAACGGTACGGGTATTGACTAATAAAGCGATATCTCGGTATTCGGCGGATACGTGGCCACATCTCAGCGGTCTGATCGGCAATTAACGTCGCTGTATGGCCCCGCGTTTCACCGTCGGCTCTTTCGCGAATAAATGACACACCGCGCGCGCGTGATAGGTATGCTAATCGCGCTGGCCCGCTGTAAAATTTGCTCGTCAGCTGCGCTCCTTACGATCAGCAACAAATTTGACGTAACCAACGAAGCTTCCTCTCTCTCTCACACACACACACTCTCTCTCTATGGTTTCGTCGCGGAATCGCGATCAATTCGCGTGAAAGTTTGATCGCTATGCGCGTGATACGTTCAATCAAACCGATCAAGTGGAAAACGAAACTATTACCGCGTCCGTAAATCACTACACACCTGGTGGATCACTTTGAACGGAGTATTCGATAGAATAGGCAATTAAAAATTAAGTAACTTTACAGCTGATACACAAATTTATCCTTGCTCTAAGTCTACTACTACTAAATCGCCAAGATCGCCGAAGAAATCGCGAAAGAATCGCCAGCTATCTCTCGCTTTATTTTCTCACATTTTTCATACCTACTCTCTACTTAGTCTTATGCGTATATAATTCCTATCAAACACACAAACTACGCATTTTCTCTCTACAATCCGTACCAAAAGCGTTCACCTTCCATCCCCGTCGCTAAAAAAGGAAATAATCCATTCACACATGTCTGCCGCGCGAAGAACGTTTCATACCCTTCGAGGAAGCGAGGAAAGAACACGAGGAAGCTTCTGAAGGAAAAAAAAAAAGAAAGAAAGTGACGGAACCGCCCTGGTATCGGGCAGTTTATCCCGCGGGAGGAGCTACGATACAATGAATAAAGAACGAAGCAGCTTGGTCGAGTGAGCCCTGTGAACGAGGCCTTATTGGGATATTAATCGTCGTACCAGGCGAACGCCCTGTCCCCGAGTGTTTGCACGAGGTTTGAAGAGGCTGCAACACCAAAGCTGCCTTGCACTGAAAACCCTCTCCGTGAAACCCCCTCCTTTTAAGCACAACGAAACACTACAAGACCCCTTCTCCTCACCCCCTTCACCTTGCCAAGCCCAACGTGTTCCTCTTTTCGAGCCTGGTGATACTCGAAAAGCCTAAGTACTACACACCACTACCACGCACAGCAATACTTCGGACACACTCGAAACACAGAGCCACTTAGGTTAGCTCGCGTATTACACGTTACAGAGGAGGTTTAGGTAGAGGTATACAGAGAGGTAGGAAGTTTTGCTTGGGATCGCTTGATAGGCGCGTTGCACGAATGCTTCGAAATAATGGGCCGTCGATTGGCGGCCGCTTGTTTAGAAAACATAAACGGGGCGAGCTAATTGTTCGCTAATTTCCAGTACCACTTGTACGGCCGTTCTTCGAAGATCAATGCGTCATGGTAATCGGAACGGGGTGTGTTTTCGTTCTTCGAGATTCTTTTTCTTTCTCTCCCCGGCCCTCGGCTAAACAGCCTTTCTTCTATTGTACGATATACGGTTCGTTTTCTCTGGATACATGTTGCCACGGGAGAATGGAAAATGGTCTTTGATAGCCAACGATCGAACCGCGGCCGTCGCTCTGCGATGGTTATCCAGGACGGGAATCGGAAATTTCTTTTATCCAAAATAGTTCTGATAGATTTTTATGGGATAATTTGGATTTTCGTAGAAGGTGAAATAGCGTGTTTAGAATGTCATTTAGCTGTGTCGTCTGAGAAGATGATCAGAGAATTCTTTTGATAAACTGTTCGAGAATCAGGTTCTCGTGGACTTTTATGAGCTATTATCGATTCTTTTGGGTATCGGTATTAGGTCTTCACTTATTGTTTGTATAGTGAATTTACAGGAATAGTTTTAGGAATTTTCTGAGAGAGCTTTTATTCGTAATTCGAAGGTGAGGTAACTTCGCGAGGTTCTAAGCGTATCAAAGGAGTAAATTTTCAGCGAATGCGATGCTTATATCACGGCAGCTCGAGAGGGCATTCGAACGCGACGGGCGTTTTAATCCATTTAGCTGCCAGGCTGGAGAGAAGCGGGCTCTCCTTCATCCACTCATAAAATCTGGCTAATTGCGCTAAGTCGTTCGTCTCGTAATCCTCCCCCAATTATCAAATTTTCTGCCTACGGTCTGACTAATTCTGCGCAACTAATTTCCTACTTTCAAACCGAACGATCGTTTGATAGGCAATTTTTACGGTTGAAAATCGGTAGAAACGAGTGAAATGTACTTACGAGAAGCTTGTGAAGATCCATCGGTGGCTCGTTCGAACAAGTCCTGCTCCTCCGGTAATCCTGAACACTTTCTAAACAGGAGACGAAACGTCGAAAGTTCAGATTTCCCAACGAAGTTGCTTCATCAGCTTCGATTCTACTTGATCTTGCAATTCGTTCGACTAACGCGACATCTTAGAAACGATTTTCTTCGGATCACCAGTTCGAACAGGCTTCGATGTTCACGAGGATACGCGACGGCCATCGACAGGTCGGCGTCCGCTTGATCAAAGTCTCTTAAATCGGCCGTCGATCTCATCGAAAGCACAGGATTAATCCTTTCGCTTCGATATACCGTGCGCCATTGTTACAAGCAGACACTGAACCTTTCAACAAATTACAATCGCCTCTTCTTTCGACAAATTCACGCTCATCACGTCAACAAACTGAGAACTTCTTTAGACGACGATCTTCCTCTCGTTTCTCAGCCTAACGAAGAATCTTCCATGGAAAAGCTTTTCAGGATTTAAGCTTCGAAGTAACTAGGTCCACAAATAGTCAGCCATCCCAGTTGATCCTCGAATCCGTCAGACACCACGTTCGTAAATCTTCTCTTCTCGGAAGCTTATCCACTGTCTTCTACGTCGTCTGCATCGCTCTAAAGCTTCGTCTCCGTGAAACAACACTATGCGAAGGATGCACAGGCGAGAACAGTTCGCGTGTTCAGTATCGCAACTTCATTCTGAACAAAACGCGCACGAGAGAAAGTCACTTCGGCGTTCCGTTGAAACGAGAACGCTATTTTTTCCCCCACGCGATTCCGTGGAATATAACGTTTTGATCGTTGATCCCTTAGCAGATGATCGACGGAGATCACGAACGATCCGTTAGCCGTTGGAGGCGCCGTTTGCCGCTGCTGACGTGTGTGCGGTGGCTGCTGGCGAAAACCAACGAAGGTTTCAGCTGCAGACAGAAGGGTGAAGGGAGGTCACGAGTCGAAGGTAGCAGCAACCACCAATGGGGCGGTGCTAGGGGCGGGGCGTAGAGCAACCTAAGGACACGCCCATCTCGTTGCACGATCATAGGCTGCAACACCCCAAGGAATGCTCCATCCCTGTCACACTCTGTCCCACTAGCTATCGCTCGTCTTTTCCTCTCCACCAGGAGACCGGGCCACCTTTTTCTCTCCCCTGCTTCTCTCCTCCTTTTTTTTTCTCCTTTCTTTCTCTTTTTCTCTTTTTTATTTTACTCTCGTTCAATTGGGACGAAGGCGACACGGAGCGCGGCGACGTTAAAAGTGCAGGCGAACGACGACGAGCCTTCGACACTCTTCATCGATCCCACTCCTCCTTGGTCAGCTCGGTTGGAATTACGATCACGAATCCCTTAGCCTGGTTCGTTGAAAATCCACTTGGAAAATGGGATTCCTCGACGTTAGCACGTCTAATCAAGTAGTTTCCTAAGTGTCGCGTAGAGTCGAGCGTATTTCTCCACGAACATTTCCACTTAACAGATCCTTACCTCGAATAATTTTTCACAAGTGCACAATTTTCCAAGAAACAAAAGAAAACGCGTAATTTCACTGCGAACAAGTTCGTTCTACAGGAACAATTCTCGAGATAAACCAAGATTAAGATGCGTTAAAGAGCAAGCAGTGCGTGTGCTTATTAAAAAATATATTTGCTTAGAAATATCCGGCGAAAGGTGAAAGCTGGCGGTGAAATGCATTGAAAAGATTCCCGTGACGGTATAGAGAAGGGTGAGTTGCATCGAGCTTCGACACAAACGGGGGTTAGACGAGAAAGAAGCGAAAGAGAGAGAGAGAGAGAGAGAGAAAGAAAGAAAGTACCTGGATCGAGGGGTTGACACAAACGGGGGTTAGACGAGAAAGAAGCGAAAGAGAGAGAGAGAGAGAGAGAGAAAGAAAGTACCTGGATCGAGGGGTCGACGAATGAGCCAGCGAATGAATACCGAGTATGGATTCGTGAGGAGCCAATAGGGGTGCACGATGTCCTCCCTTGTTCGTGGGAGCCACGCCAATCGTGGGCGTCCGTCACCCTCCGGGGCTTTTCCTGGGGGGTTGGCGATGGTAGAGAGACGCTACGCTCTGCTTCGAGGGCTCTACCTGGCTGGCTGATAAAGACAGACAATCCTCTGTCTTCCGTGGCGGATCATGCCAGCTTTGCTAGGCAGACGACCTCGTAGCAACCACACCTCCACCTTTGCATCCACTTTCATTCACTTACAACCACTTTCTACTGACGCCAATGCTCCGACGCCTTTTCTTAGATTACACGGCTGTTTCCTACCCTCTTCCCCAACGTCTACCGTGATTAACGGATTATGGAACTCGCCGGTGTGTGGGTTAGAAGGGAGGTGACGGGAGGAGAGAGCAGATGGGAAAAGAGTTATATTTTTCCAGAATTTTCTTTCCTTTTTTCCTGCTTTTTTTTTTTTTTTTTTTTTTTTTTTTTTAAACCACCCT